TGACTTATGTATACACACATGCAACAATCACCAGTCAGAATAACATAACAATCACTCCCAAAATTTACTGTGTGCCTTTGTAATTCTTCCTTCCTGCCCCTCTTCATCCACCTCTGTCCCCAAGGCAACCACTGGTCTGCTTTCTGTCACCATACATTAGTTTGCATTTGCCAGAATTTTATACAAAAGGAATCATATAGGATGTGCTCCCTTTTTTCTAACTTCTTTCACTCAGCACAATTATTTTGAAATCCATCAATATTGTAGAATGTATCAAGTTAATTTCTTTTTATTACTGAAGAGTATTTTTTTTATATTCAACTGCAGTGAACATTTGGAAATTTTCCAGTTTGGGGCTATCACAAATAAATCTGATATGAACCCTTGCTTACAAGTCTTTGTATGGATACATGTTTTCATTTCTCCTGAGTAAATTATCTAAAAGTGGAATGGCAGGATCATATAGTAGGTGGATGTTCAATTTTAAGAAACTGCCACACTGTTTGCCAAAGAGGTTGCATCATTTAACATACCCACAAACGCTGTAAGAGTGCTCAAGTCCCACCACATCCTTACAACAGTTGGTATGGCCAGTCTTTTTAACTTTATTCATTCCAAATAGATGTGTGTTATCCCATCGTGGTTTTCATTTACATTTACATTTCCTAACAATTAAAGATGCTGAGCATCTTTCCAAGTGTTTGTCATCTATGTATCTCCATAGTAAGGTGTGTTCAAATCTTTTCTGATTTTTAAAATTGGGTAATTTTATTATTGAGTTTTTGACAGTTCTTTATATATTCGGAATTTATTAGATACATGATTTTCAAATATTTTTCCCAGTCTGTAATTTGTCTTTTCATTCCCTAACAGTGTCTTTTAAAGAGCAGAAGTTTTTAATTTTTACAGAGTGATTTATCAATTTCTTCTTTTATGGATCATACTTTTCGTGTCTTCTCTAAGAAATCATTCCCTAATCCAACTTTCTTTTCTCAAAGTTTTATCACTTTAGGCTTTACATTTAGGTCTTTGATTCATTTTTACTTAATTATTATATATGTCTTGAAGTATTGGTCAGATTTCATTTTATGACATACAGATATCCAACTGTTTCAGTACTGTTTGTTGAAAGAACTATCCTTTCTCCAGAAAAAATGCCATTGTACCTTGTGGAAAATCAGTTGTTCATATGTTTCATCTTTCTTTTTGGACTCTCTATTCTATTCCATTAACTGTTTTCTTTTGATGTGAATACCACATTGTCTTAATTACTGCAGCTTTATAAATCTTGAAATCAGGTAGACTTCCAACTTTGTTCTTTTTCAAAGAAGTTGTCTTAACTATTCTAGACACTTTGCATTTTTCTATGAATTTTAGAATCAGCTAGTCAGTTTCTACAAAAATGTTGACTGGTACTTTGACTGAGAATGCTATGAATCTATAGATTACCTTGGAGAAAATTGACATTTTTAACAATATTGAGTCTACTGATCCATAAATAAGGCATATAGTCACCATTTATTTAATTTTTTTATTTTTCTTAACTGTGTTTTAAAGTTTTCGGTGTATGAATCTTCAACATCTTTGTCAGATTTACCCCTAAGTATTTAATATATTCGCTATTACTACAAATGGCATTTGTTGCTTTTTCATTTCAGTTTCTAATTGTTCCTTGCTGTTATACAGAAACAATTTATTTTTGTACATTGAGCTTCTACCTTCAACCTTAGTTAACTCACTTCGTTCTTCTAGTAGTTAGAACATGTAATCTGTGAATAATGACAGTTTCACTTCCTCCATTTTAATCTAGTTGACTTTTTATCTCTGTTTCTTGCCTGATTGCGCTGCCTAGAAGCCCCAGATCAATGTTGAAAAGAGGCAGCAGTGAGAGTGTTCCTGATCTCAGGAGAAATGCAATATTCAGTGTTTCACCACTAAATATGACGTCAGCTTTGGCTTTTCTTAGACCTTTTTTTACAGGTTAAGGACATGGACTTCTATCCCAGTTTGCTGAGACTTTTTAATCAAAAACAGATGTTGGATTCTGTCAAATGCCTTCTCTGCATCCACTGAGATGCTCATATGGTTTTTGTTTTTTACTTTCTTAATATGGTGAACTGTAATGATTAATTGTTGAATGTTAAACTAACCTTGCATTCCTAGAATAAACCCTTCTTGACCTTTTTATATATTGCTGGATTCTATTTGCTAAAATTTAGTTTACAATTGTTACATCTATGTTCACGAATGATACTGCATTGTCGTTTTCTTTGTCTGGTTTTCGTATCAAATAATGTTGATTGTTTTAAGTAGGAGGGTAAATTAGGTCCCTGTTACTCTCCCTTAGCCAGAAGTACTCTGCTAAATGGTAATTATGTTATTATCTCATCTATTCCTTCTTAGTTTAGAAGGTACATATTATTACCATCATTTTATATACAGGAGAAATGGGAAACGGGGAAAAATTGAGGCTCAGAGAGCAAGGGGGTACAGCTCTTTCTAGCTGGAACAAAGGTTTGAATCAAGACAGTAGGAATCTAAAACCCACTCTCAACCTTCTACTATACTGCAATACTTAAACAGTGTTCAAAAAACATCTCTTTAAACACATAATTTTTCATTAAGAAATTATATCTCCAAAAAATCCAAGTAGTCTGATCTACTACTTAGTGATCTACTACTTAGTGATTAAGACCTATGTCTTAATCGCTATGGTATTTGTTGAAAAAAATGAACGTGATATCATGGTTTCTTATATTCCGAGTCAGGATCTACATAAACTATTAACTACTGAATATACTGAAAACCTTACTTAAGACAGATTTAATCCAGCCACAAAGAGCCTTATAAGGATATTCCATAGTACCAAAAGGCCAACCAAAACAAACCAATAGATGTTACTATTTTAAAATTCTATGTAATCCTCCAAACCACATAATGAAATAATTACTATTATACATATTTTATAGATGAGGAAATTTGAGACATAACAACATTAAGAAACTTGCTTAAAGTCTGCCATCTCTGAAGTAGCTGAACAGGTATTCAAACTCAAGTCTCTACAACTTCAGAATAGATTCTTAAAATTTGTATTTTATGTTTCATTTGTTTGGTTTTTCAATTACAATGTTGTCAATCCTAAGAAACAAGAAGTGCTACCAAAGGCCTTTTGGGGAACAAGGAAATTCCAATATTGGACTGGAGCAGAGCTCAGTGCCAAATAAACTGGAGCTGAGCTTTGATGGTAATGATGGCAAGCTGGGGTTTCCCAGTCTCCAACTAGATTAAACCTGCTTTGCTCCATTTCTTTTTTTTTTTTTTTTGAGATGGAATCTCCCTCTGTCGCCCAGGCTGGAGTGCAGTGGCACGATCTCGGCTCACTGCAAGCTCCGCCTCCCGGGTTCACGCCATTCTCCTGCCTCAGCCTCCTGAGTAGCTGGGACTACAGGCACCCACCACCACGCCTGGTTTATTTTTTGTATTTTTAGTAGAGACGGGGTTTCACCGTGTTAGCCAGGATGGTCTTGATCTGCTGACCTCGTGATCCACCTGCCTCGGCCTCCCAAAGTGCTGGGATTACAGGCGTGAGCCACCACGCCCGGCCACTTTGCTCCATTTCTAAAGCAAGTTTTCTTTTTTTTTTTGACCATAAAAGTAGCTGAGAAGCCTCACATGGTGGTATACATTTGTAGTCCCATCTACCCAGAAGGCTAACGGAGGATTGAGCACAGGAGTTTGAGGCCAGAATGGGCAATATAGCACCCAGCTTTTTCTTTACCTTCTGGTCTGTTTTGTTTGAGATGGTCTCACTCTGTAACCTTGGTGATCCCAGGGATCACCTCAGCCTCCCAAGTAGCTGGACTACAGGTGCATGCCACCACACTTAACTAATTTTTTTGTATTTTTTATAGAGACGGGGTTTCGCCATGTTGCCTAGGCTGTGTCACTCAGGTTTTTCTATATTTCTGATGACCTGCGTGGGCATAGCTCAATGAGTTTGGACTACTAGCTACTGGCTATAATGCAGAACTCCCCTTAAAAGTAAGATGGGAAGGCAAAGAGAAAGAATAATAGCTATTCAAATAATTCCAGTCACGAGGCAAGATGGTATAGGGATAAACAGCCTGGACTCAAGGAAAGTGCCAAGATTCAAATGCTTATTCTGCCTCATGGTAGCTGTGAGACCTTGGAAAACTTATTTAACTTCTCTGGGCTTTCATGCCTTCATCTATAAGATAGGGTAATCATTTTACCTCTCATATGGCTAACAATTAAAAGACAGAATATATATAAATTGTTTAGAATAGCACCTGACACTTGGTAGGTCCTGTTTAAATTTTGCTATCAACTTATAAATTACTGTTATTCTTATAGTAAATGAACAAGAAAAAAATTACATATGTTGGATAGGCACTTTAGAGATTCTTTAGTATAAATAACTTGAATGTTTGCAATGACAATATATTTTAAAATACAGTCCTAGAAATGTGGCATATCTATATTAGTGTCCTAAAAATGGCTTTGGAAACTGATTTCCAGCATCTTCTAAAAACAGGCAAACAATTTTAAAAACATTAGCAGAGAAAATTGGACATAAAGCAAATTACTCAATTCCACTAAAGTAGTATTGAACACCTACTATGTGCTCAGAATTATGCAATCTTGATTAGGGGGACATACAAAATCTAAACCCTATTCTCAATAAGCTTAAAATATAATACATAAATACAAAAGTGTATACATAAAACAGATAAATAAGGCAAAGGACAAGTAAATGTGACAGTAGCACATAACTCTGCAAGAAATTCTCAAGTACCATTAAAATTTATGTTTAACTTATAGAATTAAAAAAGTATCTATGTGTATGTTTAATGCCATTCTTAATGCTAGTGCCAAGAACAAGTCCAAATGATTGGTATTTTATAATATTAACAATTATTAAGGAATTACTTGAACAACAAAAAAAAGAGGGTTATTCGATAATTTTCATTGTAACTTACTCTTGCTATTTTGGTCTGCAGAAAATTCTCCCTTTCTTCATCTACCTTAATTTCATGTCCATTTTTGAAGAATTCAAGCATTTTGGGGATGTCACGGCCAATGGAATCTAGTTAGAAAAAATAAAATCCACAATTATCACTCCAAATAAGTAGTAAAAATTACTGAATAAAAGAAACACATATCTCATGTGAAGATACAGCAAACAAATAGTGGCAGATAAACTTTAGTTCCAAAGAGCTCTGTTTCCCGGTGTTCACGCTCTTGTGTGATCTCCTCTCATTGCGTGTGAATGAAACTTGCAACTTGCTTCAAACCAAGAGACAGAATAATCATGTGTACATAATTATATTACATAAAGCTATAATGCCTGTCTTGGAAAAGACTCTCTTCCTTATTGGCTTTGAAGAAACAAGCTGTAATGCTGTGAGCTGCCATATGGAGAGGGCCACAGGGCAACAAGCTGAGAGCAGTCTCAAGCTAATAGCCAGTAAGAAACTGAAGCCCTGTGCCCAGTAGCCTACAGGAACTGAATTCTGCCAACTGCGTAAGTCTGGAAGCAAATCCATCGCCCACTGAGTCTAAGATGAAACCACCTCTCTGGCCAACACCTTGAGTGGAGCTCTGTGAGACCCTTAAGCGGAGAACCCCACTCAGCTACACATACATTCCTGACACATAGAAATGGTGAGATAATAAATGTGTGTTGTTCCAAGCAACTGTTTGTGGTAATATTGTTGCACCACTATGGATAACTAACACATAAGTATATGCAATAATAATATATAGCATACATTAAAAACACAGATGACATAATGAAATCAAATCTATAAAATAAACTATGGCAAAAGATAACAGCGGCCAGGCATGATGGCTCACGTCTGTAATCCCAGCACTTTGAGAGGCCGAGGCAGGCAGATTACCTGAGGTCAGGAGTTCAAGACCAGCCTGGCCAACAAGGTGAAATCCTGTTTCTACTAAAAATACAAAAACTAGCTGGATATGGTGGCGCACACCTGTAATCCCAGCTACTTGGGAGGCTGAGGCAGGAGAATTGCTTGAACTCAAGAGGCGGAGGTAGCAGTGAGCTGAGACTGTGCCACTGCACTCCAGCCTAGGCGGCAGAGTGAGACTGTCAAAAAATAATAATAACAGTACAGTCTTGAAATCTTTTAAGAACCTTCTACCTACCATAAAGAAGTGGAAAAAAACCCAACAACTAAAAAGCAGAAACATTTAGCAGTGGAAACAATATCATAATGAATGATACAGTGTAGAGGTAGCTCATTATTACGCAAATGGTTATAGAAACTGGCATGAGTTTCTATAGTCAGACATGGTGGCAGGTACCTGTAATCCCAGCTACTCAGGAAGCTGAGACAGGAGAATCACTTGAACCTGGGAGGCAGAGGTTGCAGTGAGCTGAGACTGAGCCACTGCACTCCAGCCTGGCAGCCTGGGCAACAGAGTAAGATTCTGTCTCAAAAAAAAAGAAAAAAGAAAAGAAAGAAACCAGCCTGAGAGGCCAGGCATGGTGGCTCATGCCTGTAATCCCAGCACTTTGGGAGGCTGAGGCGGGCAGATTACTTGAGGCTGGGAGTTCGAGACCAGTCTGGCCAACATGGCAAAATCTCATCTCTACTAAAAATACAAAAATTGGACGGGTGCGGTGGCTCAAGCCTGTAATCCTAGCACTTTGGGAGGCCGAGACGGGCGGATCACGAGGTCAGGAGACTGAGACCATCCTGGCTAACACAGTGAAACCCCTTCTCTACCAAAAAATACAAAAAAAAAAAAAATACAAAAAACTAGCCGGGCGAGGTGGCGGGCGCCTGTAGTCCCAGCTACTCCGGAGGCTGAGGCAGGAGAATGGCGTAAACCCGGGAGGCGGAGCTTGCAGTGAGCCGAGATCCGGCCACTGCACTCCAGCCTGGGCGCCAGAGCGAGACTCCGTCTCAAAAAAAAAAAAAAAAGAATTTTCAAAGGATCATACAAGAGACTATAAAATAAACTATTACTCTCCTAAGATTTGGTCATTATCATTTTAACACAAATTTAATAAACAAAAATACAGTATATTCCACTATACCATAACTTAACTTGAAAATTTAATTCTATGCACAGAAACATGTGAATTATTTAAAGGGTAAGATATAGAATGAAGACTGTGCCACTGAAGAGACACCACTCCCACCATGCTCAAGCAAGTCTTCCATAGGTGAGTCAATGTGAGGAACTCATTACATAGAGAGCACGGCATACCCTCAGCATACATTACTCCTAGGATTATCTCAGTAGTTGTTCATTTGGCTCAGGAGCACTACAGCTATAAGTGAAAGCAACTACCCATGGGCAATTTACAGTCTAATTGGGAGATAATGGATACACAAATGAATAATTACTAAAAAATACGAAGTTTGTTCAGTATCACAGTCTGATGTAACTGAGTACTAAACAGTATGATAAAATTGTATACTAGTAAACAGTAAGATGCTAATGGTGGTACACAAAAAACAGATACCTGGTTAAACCATCTATATTTAAATTTCTTTACTTAAATATATTTTTTAAGTTTGTTTTCATATGAACAGTGCCTTGTACATAATAAAAGCTCAAGAATTATTTAGTGACTGACCTAAATCTAAGCCCACAACACTGCCTGCCTTCCTGTCACTATGGGTGAACTGTCTATGCCCCTAACAAAGGCCGTTCCTCTTCATTTCTGTGCTCACCCCCCTACTTGTACTCACCCATAAAAGGACACTGCTCCTCCCTTCTTTCCTCTACATTGTCGATTTTTCCCTGCTTCCCTAGACAATCTTCATTAGCTTACAAACTTGCTATAAAATCTTCCTTTTCAAAATAAAATAAAGTCTCCTATGTTGCCTTCCAGTTACCACCCAACATTCCTCTTAATGTAAGTTCTCAAAAAAAAAGCCATCTCTATTTCCTCTCCTTCTGTTTTCTCTTATACCTACTTCAGTAACCTTCACATTGGCAAATCCAGTAGTCATTTCTCAGTGTTCCTCTGACTTGACCTACTAGCAGCAGTTCACAGTGTAATCTGTCCTCTCCTACAGTATCTTGACTTGTCCTCTGAAACACGATTCTCACTGGCTATTTCATCTCATTTTAAGGGCTGAACCACCCACCCTCACTTACCTGCCTTCCAAAGGTTGAACTACCTGAGGGATCAGTCATGTTACTTCTCTTATCCTATCCATGCACACCTCCCTAACTGATCTCATGCAGACACGTGGCTTTAAATACCATCTAACAACTGATAATTTCTAAATTTTTATCTCCAGCCACAATCTCCCTTATGATTTCCAACCACCAACTTGATATCTCTACCTAGATGCAGGCAAATTATTAGTAAGGAGTAAACAGGACAAATGTCTCCTGGAAGAATAAACAAATAAAGGACTTCATAATTTTGAGCCTGATATCGTATTGATGATGTAAGAGTAATAAAGAGAGAAAGAACTGGACTCAAGAATAAAAGAGAAATAGTTCTGCATTAAAACATACTGAAGTGAAGGTCTGATGGAATATCAAAAAATATATACATTTGTATAGTTAGAAAAAAGGAACCAGAAAAAAGGTGATAGATTGAAGATGATATAGATTTTAGTTTTTAAGGTAGTTCCATCCTAAAACACAAATAAAAATTCCTTCCTTTGACCTTATATATTCTTTCTTCTTTGTCTAATTTGCATTTCTCCAATGACCAAAATGTTTAGTATTATTTCATCTGTTTAATGGCCAATTACATATATTCTTTTTTTTTTTTTTTTTTTGAGATGGAGTCTCACTCTGTCGCCCAGGCTGGAGTACAGTGGTGCGATCTCAGTTCCCTGCAACCTCTGCCTCCTGGGTTCAGGCAATTCTCCTGCCTCAGCCTCCTAAGTAGCTAGGATTACAGATGTGCGCCACTGCATCCGGCTAATTTTTGTATTTTTAGTAGAAATAGGGTTTTACCTGTTGGCCAGGCTGGTCTTGAACTCCTGACCTCAGGTGATCCGCCTGCCTCAGCCTCCCAAAGTGTTGGGATTACAGGCATGAGCCATTGTGCTTGGTCACATATGTTCTTTTCTACAATACCTACTCAATTCTTTTGCCCCTTTTTAAAAAAATTAGGTTGACAGTCTTACTGAGTTATGAGTTCTTTATATATTATGGATACAGGTTCTTGGTCAGAGCTATGTGTGGCAAATATTTTCCCCTCATCTATCACTTGCCTTTTCATTTTCTTAGGGGTACCTATCCATGAGCAAAAATTTTTAATTTTGATTAAGTCCAAATTAGCAATTTTTTCTTCTATAGCTCATGCTTTTTGTGTCCTAAGAAATATTTACTTAATCCAACACCATGAAGATTTTCTCCTAGAAAATTTTCTTCTAGAATTTCATGACTTTATCTTTTACGTTTAGGTCTATGATTCATTTTGGGTTAATTTCTGTGTTTGATGTGAGGAAAGACTTATCCAGTTATTTCAGCAAAATTCATTGAAAAAATTATTCTTTTTCTACATAACCTTGACACCTTTGCTGAAAATCAGTTGACCATGTAAGTTTTGGTTCATTTCTGAACCTCAGTGTTTGAACTATATTCATTTATCCTTTATACCATACCACATTGTCTTGATTACTGTAGCTCTATGATAAAGTCTTACATCTCAAACTGTGTTCTTCCTTTTAAAAATCATTTTCTCTTTTAAATTTTTTTTTTTTTTTTTGAGACAGAGTCTTACCCCATCACCCAGGCTACAGTGCAGTGGTGCGATCCCGGCTCACTGCAACTGCCACCTCCTGGGTTCAAGTGATTCTCCTGCCTCAACCTCCCAAGTAGCTGGGATTATAAGCATGTGTCACCACATTCAGCTAATTTTTGTATTTTTAGTAGAGATGGGGTTTCACCATGTTGGCCATGCTGTTCTCAAACTCCCAACCTCAAGTGATTCACTTGCCTCAGCCTCCCATACTGCTGGGATTACAAGTGTGAACCAGCACACCCGGACAATTTTTTTTTTTTTTTATTAAGACACAGTCTTGCTTTGTCACAGGATGGACTGCAGTGGCATGATCTCAGCTCACTGCAGCCTCAATC